TTTCTGTATATTCTTTATTTATATATTCTTTATATAGAGAATATATGTGAGGAGCAGCTCGGACTAGACTAAGTTACTGGAATTAAGACTTATTCTATGCATCTGCTCTCCCACAATATGGCGCTGGGAGAGAAGAAAACAGCTTTTACACAGCTGCCTCCAGTTCAACCAATAAACAGCAGGACCTGCTCCTGATTGGAGGAGAGCAGCATACTCGGCGTGTGGGCAGCCGAGTTGGGATTGGCGGAGGAGGACTATAAAGGAGGAGAGAGACGGCATGCACGAGGAACATCTAAGGGGAACACCTGTGCAGCCCCCCAGAGAGCCGGCCGGCGGTGTGCCGCTCCCCTGCGGAAGTGGGGAATGTGGCCAGGGGGAACCGCCCTTCCACGGAGGTGGAAGGGACAGTAGCCAACCCGGGAAGAACCAGCAGCAAACCTGGGGAGGGCCGAGCAGACAGAAGAACAACGCAGGGTTTAGTGTCGTTCCTCCACGAAGAGGGGGAGCGACATAATGGTGCCGTGACTCGGATATGAAGCCTAGGCAGGGCTTAGTGTCGTTCCTCCACGAAGAGGGGGAGCGACATAATGGTGCCGTGACTCGGATATGAAGCCTAGGCAGGGCTTAGTGTCGTTCCTCCATGAAGAGGGGGAGCGACAAATATATATATTCTTTTTTCTATATATATATTCTTTATTCAAGCACTAAATATTAACTGGTGGGCTTTCACCATACACAAAAATAAATTCAAAATGGATAAAACACTTAAACGTAAGACCTAAAATTATGATACTACTAGAAGGAAACACAGAAATGTGTCAGAACACTGAAATGAGCAAGAGATTTTTGGGCAGGATCCCCAAAACATAAGAAATAAAAACAGAAATAGACAAGCAGGGGCTGCCGTTGTGATGTAGTAGATTAACCCTCAGCCTGCACTGCCAGAATCCCACGTCGGTGCTGACTTATGCTCCGGCTGCTCCTTTTCCAAGCCAGCCCTCTGCTTATGACCTGGGAAATCAGTGGAACATAGTCCAAGTGCTTGGGACATGCACCCTCTAGGGAGACCTGGAGGAAGCTCCTGACTCCTGGTTTTGGATGGGCCCATCTTCGGCTGTTGCAGCCATTTGGAGAGCGAACCAGTGGATGAAAGATCTCCCTGTCTCTCCCTCTCTCTGTCTATAACTCTGTGCTCAAATAAATAAACAAATATTTTTAAAAATAGACAAATGGCATTGAATTAAACTAAAAAGATTCTGCATAGCAAAGGAAACAGACAGCAGAGTGAAGAGTTAACCTACAAAATAAGAAAAATTTGCAGCTATACATCTAGGAAGGAATTTATAACCAGAATATATAAGAAATTCAAACAACTCAGTAACAAAGCAAAACAAAACACAATAAAACCAAACAGATAATCAACTTTTCAAAATACAAGTTACCAATACATAAGGATATCACTAATATCTTCATGAAGATATTATTAATTACTAGTTACATGATATTACTAATTAATTACTAGTTACATGAAGATATTACTAATAATCAGGGAAATGCAAATTAAAACCACAATGAAATATCATCTCACGCTAGCTATAATTAACATAAGGTTAATATTACTAACATTACAATATTGGAAAAGTGGTGATTATCCTATACTATGTTATTAGATGGGAGAAGCAGTTCTGGTTTCCATTGCACAGTAGGATGATGATGGATAATGATAATGCACTGTGTATGTTAATGAGAAGGGTGCATTTTCTATGTTTTCCACTATGATAAATTTTTGAGGAGATACATATATATCAATATATATAATGGATACATGTTTAGAAACAGCATGATACTCTACAGACATGTACAATTCCCATATATCAGTTTAAAATAGAAAAATTAACTGATGAGTGTAATGAATAATGTAACTTCTAGGCATCCACTAGCTCACTTGCTTACGGTATCTGCAACGATTGTAAAAACTTCTTGCCGGTGCCGCGGCTCAATAGGCTAATCCTCCACCTTGCGGCGCCGGCACACCAGGTTCTAGTCCAGGTCGGGGCGCCGGATTCTGTCCTGGTTGCCCCTCTTCCAGGCCAGCTCTCTGCTGTGGCCAGGGAGTGCAGTGGAGGATGGCCCAAGTGCTTGGGCCCTGCACCCCATGGGAGACCAGGAGAAGTACCTGGCTCCTGCCAGATCAGCGCAGTGCGCCGGCCGCAGCAGCCATTGGAGTGTGAACCAACGGCAAAAGACCTTTCTCTCTGTCTCTCTCTCTCATTGTCCACTCTGCCTGTCAAAAAACAAACAAACAACAAAAAAAAACTTCTTGAAGGTGGGAATTCAAACTTTGTTCAGCTTTGAGCTAATAATATCCCCATTCTCGTAAGTTCTGTTTGTATCCCTGTGGGTGATTAGGTTCTTGACTAACAACAAGTGACATAATCCTTTTTCTGAGCACTAATGGAAATAAATAACTGAAAAATGGGACAACAGATTGCAAACTGCAGATCACCATTCGAGACTGATGATTCTTGGGTTATTTTGTGGGTGACAAACCTGTGGGTGATCCTGTGCCTGGCTGGGAGTCTGCCTGCCTGGCCCATGTAGGAGGCTGAGAGGGCATGGCACGCCATGCCTCCTGGGAAGGACCCCACAACCTGACTGCTGGCAGGCGGCCAGAGCCCCAGGCACATTTCCCCCACCCCCGCTTCCTGTTAAAGGGCCCTGTAATTGCCAATCAGGTAAACAGTGTGGCCCACGCCCATAAAGACCGGTTTTTACAGCAGTTATTGTCTACCTATTACTCTTTACAGTAAAGAAATTAGCTCCTTTCTGGGATGTCACAATTGTTTTCTTATTTCTGTCATTTTCCTTCTTTTATCAGAGGGTTTGTGTCCTACATTGGTCTGTTTTCAGCTATTCAGCATTCCAGCTGTCTATTATTCCTTCTTCCAAAATCCTGTTAAGCCTGAATTGAACAATCTGTACTTAGTAAGTATTCAATGAAAGTATATTATGATAATATAAATCAGAGATCTTTCCATGAATTAAAATGGTGCTTATTCCTTTAAGCAACCCAAATATCTGAGTGCTGCTTGGACCCCTGTACCTGCAGCTGTAAAGCGTTTATTCCAGTGCCTTGTTTCATGATTCAGTGTCTACCCACAGGCAGAAGAAAGTGAGAGCTGGCGATGGCTTAGAGGATGGAGCCTCTCTTGGCTGTAGGCCACTTTCCTGCCATCCTTATCTCCTTCTCAAGTACAGGAAGTGAGAAACACAGTGCTGAATATCAAAAGATATCACAGGGGAAAGTTCCTTGAGATATATAGGTAATAAAAGCAGTCACTACGACAATAACAAAAAGCTGTCATGGTAGGTTGAGCTCTGAAAAACAATTGGATATTGCTGAGTACTTTCCAGCAAATTGAGTAAAACACCATCCTGAAAGAAGGATTAAGATGTTCAAAGTTCAGAAAATTCATGCCAGAAAAGTCACTGTGTTCTGCTCCATCCCACTTATTCTGTAAAAAAAAAAAAAAAAAAAAAAAAAAAAAAAAAATCTTTTTTTTTTTTTAATATCTAGGTACCAAAAACTGTTAGAGAGCTCTAACAATTTCAATTGTTGATGACTTGATCACATGTCTGTTGGGAATTACAACCACCTTGAGGTATATCAGGGATTGGTTTCCCTCTTGAAGAAGTGAGGAAAATGAAGTACAGAAAGTGAAATGATTTGGTTAAAGGCATTCACCTGGTGATTGTCAACAACAGAACTAGAATTCCAAGTTCCAGAACTGCTACCCAGCTGTCTTTTAGACGGGCAGTCACAAGTCCACATTTGTAGAAAACAGACATTTGCAGGTTATTGCTTTGCATTCTCCTTTTCAAAATGAGGTTTTCCAGTTTTCTTAGAGCCAGCGGCTTATTCCCTGTGAACTCCATTTTCCCAGGGAGGGCACTAGTTAGCAATTCTCACATGGTGCCCTCAACCGGAGCTTGCTTTCGTCAGCGATTCTGGAGTCGCGGATAGATCTTTGTTTCCTTCGGCTGAAAATAAAATGCACCTCAGCCTACTTGTCACTTCCATCATGTCAGTCCTGTGTAATCTGCAGTATGCTTATTCTATGCAGAGTCCTGTTCTTCTGCTCAAGGGACTGGCATGTACATGTTACGTCATTCCTAAGGGCCTTTACCTCTGTCTCTTTCCTGGGGACAGAACTACAGAATTCCCAAACGTGGTGATCTGGGGAATATCCAACACATAACTTACTGCTTAAAAAAATGGCCTCCTAGGAAGAAAGGTTGACCTACGTGCTCTCTCACAAGGGAAACCGTATTTTGATTCATGACAATATTTATGGGAGCAGATGAATTCTTGTCCTTTATGAATAATATCTTTAAGGCCAAGAGACTTCATTTAATTTTATGACATAAAGAAAGCATTGTCACTTCAGCCCAGTCCTAAAGGTATTCACACAATCCCCAGTGACTCTAGGACTCAGAAGTGGCTTGTAAGAGCCTGGCTTGGGGCAGTGCCGTCCACCGTGGTCCTGCCTGCTCCATCAGGGGCATACTCGCAAAGCCAGACCCTCCTGAGTGCTTCTTAGCAGAAGGCATGGTCCCCGAGACTAGGTGTCCCACAAGCAGAGCTGTCACCAGGGCACAGCCCAGGGACCTTGGCCCAGGCATATGGAGCCACAAGCGTCAGGCCAGCTCCCAGCACCAGGAGGACAAACCCATGGTGGCTTCAGCCCACTCCCCACCCCACCCCCACTCACCAGGCAGACTTCTCTGAGTAAAAGATTAGGAGCTACAAGATCCAGGGTGGGGCCCTGGCTGGGTGGCACTCCAGGCTGTACCCTTGGCTTCCTGCCGGCTCCAGTGGTGCCTCCAGGGCGACAGGTCAAGTCCCCACAGCGCTGGGGGCTCCCCTGCCTCCGCAGAGCCCTGGTGTGGTCCTCCAACGCAGACAGCATAAACGCCCCCACGGTTGTGCCCTGTCCCTTTCTCTAGTGTGGCTGAGACTTGGGTTCCTGCCGAGGAACCTGGCTGGCAAACACCAGACGTCTTCTCCCAGGTCAAAGGGCCCGCCCCACGGGTGTTACGAGTTGACCAAAGCCGTGCAGGCCCGTTCCTGAAGTCCGGGACCCTCAGATGCCCTTCAGCCTGTCCGGGCACCCACGGGCCACGGCTGCAGGTGGAGCCGGATACACACCCAGCACCGGTGGTTGGGGGTGGAGGGGCAGCTCTCCGGATGCCTCAGGGAGAAGCGCGGGGCCTGGATTGTGCCGGCCAGGCTGCCCTATGGTGGACGTCGAAGTTCTCGGGCAGCGGGAGCTTCCGGGAGTGGTCACCATGAGATCCAGCACGGTCCCCGCCTAGTGCAGGAAGTGCACGCGTCTCTTGTCTTCGGGGCGTGTGTCCCGCACACAGACTCCTCCAGAGGGTGATGCAGGCACCCCCATCCCTGGTGGCAGCCCTCACGTCCGCGCCTCCAGCCAGCAAGAGCTGGATGTTCTCCGGATGGAGCTGCTGGCCAGCGCACGGAGCGCAGCGGTCTTTGCGTGCTTGTCGGCCGCACCGACGTCTGCACCAGGGTCCGGGAGACGCCCCGGCTCCTTCCTGGCCGGGTCCGGTCCCTGCGATGGAGGTTGGCCCCGTGGCGTCCCACCAGCTGCGCCACGTCTGGCCGGTCCCGCAGCACGGCGCTGTGCAGGGCCGTGTAGTAGGCGGCCGGCTCCTGGAAGGTGAGGTTGGCCCGAGCTGCAGGAGGCCGTCGTCCGCCCACATCAGCCTCCCTGGGCCATCTTAAAAACGCTTTACTCGCGCCTTCTGGCAGAACGAGGAGTGGGCCTTCCTCTCCAGCGTTTCCGTGAGAACGCGCGGCCGGCTCTCCTCGCTGGCCGCGTACCCCAGGCCAGGCCAGGGGCTCCTGCCGAAAACCACCTCCACCAGAGGCTGCGCCTCGAAGATGATCCTCAGGAAGCCAGGTTTGAATGTAAATAAGGAAGTAATTTGCTTTTTCTTCCTCTTTTTGCCTTCCCTCCTCCTCCTTTATCTCACGTTATTTAATTTTTCCCAAGAATGTTTACTGAATTTAGAACCAATTAAGGAACACTTTTTAAAAATTTATTTAAAAGGCAGAGACAGAGATTTTCCACCGGCTAATTCACTCCCTGAATGCCCACAATAGCTAAGGCTGGGTCAGGCGGAAGCCAGGAGCCTCAGGATCAATCCAGGTCGCCCTTGTGGGTGGCAAGGACTCAAATACAGAGCCGTCACCTGCTGCCTCCCAGCGCCTGCAATACCAGGAAGCTGGAACTGGGAGCAGAGCTGGGACTAGAACTCAGGCACTCTGACATGGGATGAGGACCTTGCAACTTGTGTCATTTTTTTTTTTTTTAATAAATTCTTCCTTTGTTTTTTAAGATTTATTTATTGGCCGGTGCCGTGGCTCACTAGGCCAATCCTCCGCCTGCAGTGCCGGAACTCTGGGTTCTAGCCCCGGTCGGGGTGCCAGATTCTGTCCCGGTTGCCCCTCTTCCAGGCCAGCTCTCTGCTGTGCCCCGGGAGTGCAGTGGAGGATGGTCCAAGTGCTTGGGCCCTGCACCTGCATGGGAGACCAGGGGAAGTACCTGGCTCTGGGCTTTGGATCAGTGCGGTGCGCCAGCTGCGGTGGCCACTGCGGGGGTGAACCAACAGCAAAGGAAGACCTTTCTCTCTGTCTCTCTCTCTCTCACTGTCCACTCTGCCTGTCAAAAAAAAAAAAAAAAAAAGATTTATTTATTTGAAAGGCAGAGTTAGAGATCTTCCATCTGAAGGTTTACTCCCCAAATGGCCACAACAAGCTCGGGCTGGGCCAAGCCAAGGGCAGGAACCAGGAGTTTCTCCTTGGTTTTCCACGTAGCTGCAGGGGCTCAAGTTCTTAGGCCTTCTTCACTGCTTTCCCATGCCGTTAGCAGGGAGCTGCATCAGAACTGGAGCAGCAGGGTCTTAAACCAGTGCCCATGTGGGCTGTCAACACCACAGGTGTGGGGGTGGGGCTCCTCCAGCTGTATCTTAACTACTTTGCCAAACTCCTGCCTCAAGGAAAAGAGATATTATCTGAATAAAATATGGCTGTTGTTGGAGAAGATACACATGGCACAATGACAAGGTAAGAAGCTCATTTCTAATGAAGGTGCATTATAATTTAGTGGCAGACCAAGTGTGAGAGTTAACCGCTACAGAGGTGATTCGGGCTGGCTTGATACCGCGGGTGAAATCTGAGCTGCATCTTGGAGAGTAAGTAACAGTTTACAGGTGGATTATGTATTTACACTGTTAAATTCAAAACTCAGTGCACCCTGAGAAAGAAGTCACATAGCCTAAACTACTTTGCTGTTTATTTTAGTTAGATCTTGGGGGAAGGAAAGCATAGGTCGAGACCCAGAAATGTGGTCTTTTAAGAAAATCGGAGTCTGGGGTGTCAGTGGTTCTAGCAGAATATTTCCTTCTGAGTGCTGTGGGGGCCCCGGCTGGAAGATTGGAGTAGTGCCTATCTTACCCCAAATATTACTTTTCTCGTGTTCAGGGGCCCCAACAACTCAACACTGAAATGATCAAACCACAACATTGGTTTAATTAATAAAAACTTTATTTATTTAAAGGCAGAGAGGAAGGGAGAGAATATCTTCCATCTACTTCCTGTAACAGCTGGTCCAGAATAAAGCCAGAAGCCAAGAACTCATTCAGAGTCTTCCACATGGGTGTCGAGGACCCAAGTTCTCAGTGCACCAGCTGCTTCCTCCCAGGGTGTGCATCTTCAGGAAGCGGATATCAGGAATGGAACTGGGACAGGAACCCAGGCTTTCTAATGTAGGATGGGGGTTCCAAAGCAGTATAACTGTTATACTTTAAAACTCACCCCAAAAAGGAAATTGGACAAGTAGCATTAAATATCCAAAAAGAACATTTATTTAATAAAAAATTAACAGGACTCACGTTTTAATTTTAACTCATTGCTTAATATTTGTAGAATACTTTTTTATTTCCTTATGCCTGATTATTTCAAAATCAACACAAAGTGAACAGTCACAAAAATAAGTGTTCTCAGTTATAAATTCTGTCTGCATTTATCTAGTGACCTTAGGCAGGGCTGGAAACCCAAATAACTTGTGTTGAAGCTATTTTAAAATTATACCCCCTACTATTTTCATTCACTGGATCTGGGGTGCTATCTGGACATAATTATTTTGGAAATGATTTCCAAGTGATTTGGTTCTTTTTCATTTTGAGAACTACTTGCTTATATTGTTCTACTTCTGATCTGTACTTTCTTTATTTTACCTCATTCCAGTCTGCTGGTTAATATTCATTGAGGTTTATATTTGTATGCATTCCTTACACCTATTTATTCCAGTATGAACATAAATGACTCATAGGAGTTGCCTAAAATGCCTCGATGTCCAGAAGATCCTTGTCAGCTGGGTAGAATACAGGGCAGTTTCCAGGAAAGTCAGAGGGCTGGAAGAGGAGTGGAAAGAAGAGAAGCCTTGGGTACTCAGAGACCTGGGAGGGAGAGAAAAAGGCTGGATCTCTCGTGGATCTGCAGGAGTGTGTCAAAGGTGTTGCTGATATGTACAATAAATTTAATCTGTTATAAATGTTACAGCAAATACTAACAAAACATATAAGCAAAATGTATAGGACTTGCCTATATAAAAAAAAATCATCACTCCCATTCCACTTTTCCTCTGACAAAAGAATTTAAAGGAAAAAGTTTTCTGAATAATTAAGAATATGAAGACATTACTGAAAGGCTAGGAAGGGCCGTTTTTTTCCCTAGCTACTCCTGTTCTTAGGTACAAAGCAGAGGGTTACGAGTTTTAGGGTGGGACTCTCTATACTGTGCCTATGCGGCTTCTTGGTTCCAAAGAGGACTTGATCATCTTCCAGGGGCTTTCTAGACTGGGTGAATGCCGAGGCAAGTATTGACAGTCCCAATTCAAATGGTCTCATAGAGCTCTGACTGTCAGTGGCATGTTGAGCTGTCATCTCTCTCTCTCCTAAATACTTTCTACATGGAACCAGGAGTTCCACCATGAATCAGGAAGTAAACATGGATCATTAGTGAAAAACTGTCCTAAGAAGTGAGTTAGTAAAAAGAAGACTATTGAAGCTAAATAGTTCTCTCCAGTAACAGCACTTTAAAAACTTTCTGAACTTCTAAGCTGAACTTCTAAGCTAAACTTCTAACTTGGGTGTTCCGTAAGCCATGGATTGGAAAGCATGCACCTGAGGCTTTAGCCTTCTGGCCCGGAGGAATTTCCCCAGTGTCCCGGCAGCCTGGGTTTCACTCAGCTCATACCTGCAGCTTTCCAGGAGTTCTATTGCTTCCTCTTCTTTCTTCCTCATTTTTAAAACATTACAACACAATGGCCCTCTGTTTTTATGAAAGCAGACAAAGTCATAACAAGCAAATAATACTTTAGCATTGACATTACAAGTGTTTTCTTTCTGGGTGTTTTAAGAGAGGGTAAAGAGGAATTTGTCTCCAATTTAGCAAACTTCTATTTGGAGCTATGGAACCAGTAGTCCTTTTATCATTTTACTTTGGTTGTTGGTACCACAAAGATAATCAATTCATGAACCCAAATAAGAAATATCCTGAATACCAATGAAAGGAGAGGAGGGTTTGTAAAATATGAATTTCTCTTTTAGCTTTTTTAGAACCTTTATTCTTATAATTGTGAAACAAAATGTTTTTTTCCTAGAAAACTTGAAGCATTGAAATTAAATTTCCACTACATTGGAGTTACACACAAGTTGTGTAGAATCACTGTGTATCTTCATCATGAGCAGCATTTTCAAATGATAATTTTTTAAAATATTTGTTTCAAATGTAAAACATGGCCTCAAAGGATAAAGGAAAATTGAGCCTTGTTAAGGCTGAGCAAAATTTCCATTAAGTACCTATGTTTGTAAGGTCAATTCTCACATCATTTGCTATTGAGCCTAATAGACACATTTGGGTCTCATTTTTTCCTTTTCTGCTTTAAAATCGATAGAGCAATTTTATGTTTACAGAACAATTAACCAGAAAGCACAGAGAGTTCTCATAATTACGCCCCTGCTGTCCTTACCACATACACAATTCTCATTATTAACATCTTGGTTTGATGTTACTTGTTACCATTGATGAGCCAATACTGGCATATCATTATTATCTAAAGGCCATATTTTACATAAGGGTTCACCTTTGTGTTGTAAAGTTCTACAGCTCTTGAAAATGCAGTGTTCTATATCCATCATCATGATGTCAAACAGAAGTTATACTGCCCTTAAAAATTCTCTGTGCATCACTTATTCTTTCCTCTCTTCCCTGAATTCCTGGCAACTGTTGGTCCTTTTAATAACTCTATCATTTTGCCTTTTCCAGAATGTAAAAGAATAATTTAGTAGGTAGCCTTTTTAGACTGACATCTTTAACTTAGCAATTCCGTTTAAGTTTCTTCCATCTTTTCATAGTTTGATAGCTTTTTATTTTTTTAACATTTACTTATTTATTTGAAAGGCAGAGTTACAAAGAGACAGAGGCAGAGAGGGAGAGAGGAAGATCTTCCATCCACTGGTTCACTCCCCAAATGGCCACAAGGGCCTGAGCTGAGCCGATCTGAAGCCAGGAGCTACTTTCAGGTCTCGGACGTGGGTGCAGGGGCCCAAGGACTTGGGCCATCTTCTACTGCTTTCCCAGGCCACAGCAGAGAGCTGGATTGGAAGTGGAGCAGCCAGTATTTGAACAGGCACCCATATAGGATGCCGGCATTGCAGGCGGCAGCTTTACCTGCTACATACACCACAGCCAGTGCCGGCCCCGCTCATTTGTTTTTATTGCCGGAACATTTTCCACTTACAGACATATTGTAGTTCATATATACTTGTGATAAAACATGTTGATTGCTTTCAGCTTTTGGAAATTATGAATAAAGCTGCTATAAACTTGCATGCACCAGCTTTTGTGAGGGCATAAGTTTTAAACTCATTTGAGAAAATTGCAAGTGGTGCAGTTGCTGGATTTTATGGTTAGACTATCTTTGATACAGTGATGCTCAGAGCTTCTGTCCATTTTTAGGTTGGGTTGTCTATTTTCTAACTGTGTGAAGTGTTTTTTCTTTATTTTGGATATAATTCCTTTATTAGATCATTTTTTTTCACATATCTTCTTTCTGTCTATGACTTGGATTTTTGTTCTCTTAAGAGATTGTCTTTTTGAAAATGAAATGTGTTATTTATTTTTTTTATTGACAGGCAGAGTGGACAGTGAGAGAGAGAGAGACAGAGAGAAAGGTCTTCCTTTTCTGTTGGATCACCCTCCAATGGCCGCCGCGGCCGGCGCACCGCGCTGATCCGATGGCAGGAGCCAGGTACTTATCCTGGTCTCCCATGGGGTGCAGGGCCCAGGCACTTGGGCCATCCTCCACTGCACCCCCAGGGCACAGCAGAGAGCTGGCCTGGAAGAGGGGCAACCGGGACAGAATCCGGCGCCCCAACCGGGACTAGAACCCGGTGTGCCGGCATCGCAAGGCGGAGGATTAGCCTAGTGAGCCGTGGCGCCGGCCTTGTGGTGCCTTTTAAGAAGTCGCCCCATCATGGTGGAATATGGATACCCTTTCCTGAAGTTCTAGTCCTCAAGATCTTTCAGCTTGAAGCTTCTTCCTTGTACTTCACTCCATTCTCTTCATACCCATTCTCTCTGGATCTGTTGATCTTCTACCATCCACATCACTGGGTGAACCTGGTCTATTGGATGCCCTTTTCACAGTATTGAATTATGAGCTTCCCCTTTCTTGCCAGAAAGATTTGACCTCATGAAAAAAAGGGTTGGAATGCTAGAAATGCTGGTTATTATTAACAAATGCTGAAGGAGAAAAGGAAGCTTCAATGACAAAAAGTAGCCTCAATTGTGTCTGAGTGGGAACTTCAGCCTGAGACTAGCAAACACCAGATGGGACTGGGCACAGGACACTTAGAAAAATGGAAACCAGCAAGAGGAGGGAAAGGTGCATTGCTCCAGGGCTATTTGGAGAAATATCCATCCTCAATCAAGGAAAACTGATAGCCAAACAATAATAGCAAAGGGGTAGAATATAAAACTTGAGAGAACAGAGGGAAAAGGAATGAGAAGAAAACTGGTACCTCTGAGTACCACTGGCAGGTGGCATGCTGGATGCTTTACAGATGTCACCTAATCTCCTTGAAGAACTGATGATCTAGGCACACAAAGAAGCAGGTTTCAAGTTGACAACATCCCCAAAGTCACACAGCTCTTAAGCTGGTGCTGAGGACTTCAGGGGTGACACGTAGAACACAAAGAAACCAGCTTTCTGAAGAGGGGTAAACCATTGCTAAGTACCTGGGGGCAGGTGTGTACCAGACGGTTGAATGAGAGGGACGCAGGGGGACAGGTCAGAGAGGAAGGCAAGGACCAGGTCCTGCAGGGCCTTGGGAAGGGCTTTAGGTTTCACTAAAGCCCCTACCGAATTTTAATTAGTGCAAAGTTGGGACGCACCTTGGAAATCACTCTGCTGTGTAAAGAATGAACTGTTAAGAGTGGAGGCGTGGGCCAGCGCCGCGGCTCAGTAGGCTAATCCTCCGCCTTGCGGCGCTGGCACACCGGGTTCTAGTCCCGGTCGGGGCGCCAGATTCTGTCCCGGTTTGCCCCTCTTCCAGGCCAGCTCTCTGCTGTGGCCAGGGAGTGCAGTGGAGGATGGCCCAAGTGCTTGGGCCCTGCACTCCATGGGAGACCAGGATAAGTACCTGGTTTCTGCCATCGGATCAGCGCGGTGCCCCTGCTGCAGCACGCCAGCCATGGCGGCCATTGGAGGGTGAACCAACGGCAAAGGAAGACCTTTCTCTCTGTCTCTCTCTCTCACTGTCCACTCTGCCTGTCAAAAAAAAAAAAAAAAAAAAAAGCGGAGGTGTAGAGACATGGTAGGCTATTGTAGTACCTAGGTTGGAAGCAGTGCGTCGTCAACAGAGGAGACAGTAAAGATGCAGAGAAATGGATGGAGCTCTGATATTGTGGAGATCTAACTTGCTGATGGATAGAAGATGGGAGAGAGAGATGCCAAGGGTTACCCTCAAATGTCCATCTCCATTAACAATGTTTTTCCTTTTTCCTTAAAGCAAAGTAAATTTTAATCATTAAAGCAATCTTATAACACACACATAAGAAAAGCCCAACTGTTATAAATCCCCTTGTCAGGGTTAATCTTTTTAATAAAGTATTATATACTCTTCTGGAATATTTGTGTGTGTGTATGTGTAGAGAAAAGTATAAGACTGCCATTTAAAACAAAAACCAATTATAGCCATTTCTACCTCCCAGGAGTAAAGCCTAAATCCATATTAATATGCAGTATTTTGCTTAAAAAATCACCTTACGGTTCTTTTTGGTAAGTGACCTGGTAAAAGAGAAGAAAATAAAGGGAGGTGTGAACCATCTTGCATAACAGAGTAAGAGGACTGAATGTACATGGGCAGACTGGGAGACAGGTTCAGAAAATGAAAGATAGAAGGTCTCTAAGTTAAGGCCTGAAGAATTTCTTGGTTTAGGGACATTATCTGTGAAAAAAGTAGTCAAGGAACTTTAGGAGAAGTAGCAATGCCTAATGTCTCTGTAAGTTTCTCAGGTTTGCAATACTCCCTCCTAAACTCTCAATAAAATTCCGTTGCTCAGTACAGCTTTAAGCCAATGGTGCTGTAGGAAATAAAAGAAGATTGGGAAAGGGTTGGGAAAGGAGTGTTGGAAGGAAAGAGCAGGCCCCAGAGTTGAGAGCCAAGAGTTCATGGGTAATCAGCCTGCATGGAGGATAAATCAGACAGATGGAGAAGAAATAGACACCATTCCCTGTATCTGCCTACCAGTAAGGAATTCCCTGTGTCTGGAACTTGTGGCTTGGGTACTTGTGCCATTTTATTTGAGTAGTTAATAAATGTTTACTGCAGGAGGTTGGAGTGTTTAAGGATACCAGGCAGCAGAATGGGTGTTGTATGTATGCATTGTGGATGTGTGTGCCTGTGTGCAGATGTGAATGTGGGTGTACACATGTGCATGTGTGTGCACACTATGCATAGTTTTTAATCATTTGAGAATCTTCTCAGGCATAACCAGCATATCTCAGCTGTAGGTAATTACATCTATAGCTAAACACATTTCCTGACAATGTTTTACTGAGTTTCTAGACAGAGAATAAAATTCTTATGAAAAGTTTCTGGGATATGAGTCATAGTTCTTTCATTATTTAAAATGCATCGGCATCCCTGTTCAAGTCTGGCAATGCTGGTAGTAGATGGGGAATCTCCAAAATGTCAAGGTTTCATATGCCCCTCAAATAAGAGTTGGCAAAATTGTT